AAATTCCAGTGAAATATATTTATGTTTGTGGTTGTAATGTGACAAAATATGGAAAAGTTCAAGGGGTATGAATACTTTTGCAAACCACTGTATCACAGAGCAGTTTGCTGAGGTCAGGCTTTACATGGACATAATGTTTGAGCAGCAACTATACTATATAACTATATATGCCCCCTGTAACAACTGTATGGAAATAACAAATACACATCTTTCAAGTTACATATCTGATGCAAAACATACAAACCACATGGTGGGATGAAAAATCCATTTTCCTGTTTATAATGAAATGTTTTTTTATTATTGAAAACTTATTTTTTTTGGAATAATTTTAAATTATGTTAAACTTGCTCCTGGCAGCTGAGACTCATTTATGTTTCTTTCATTTTAAGGACTTTTTAGGCACTTTTGATTTGAATAAATGTGCAAACCACAAATATGCTTAGATGACAGCTTTAAACTGCATCAGTTCTGCAAAATGACTTAAGTTGTGTGTACGTGTATGTGTGTGTGTGTGTGTGGGGGGGGGGGGGGGTTACAAAAACATTTCTGCTTGAGAAAGGAAGGATATGTTTTAACATCTGAGGCACAGAAGTGGCACACAATAGGAAATGTTTCAAATGAAACAAATGCGAAAATGAGAAGCACTACGTCAGCAAAAAAGGTGAATAAGCTGACAAAAAGTGTTGGGAAACAAGAAAATAAAAACAAAGATGTGAACAGAACACAGAGTCTTAACTGGAAACAGAGAGAAAATACATCAAATAATCTGAAATGTCCTGAGGCAGAACAAGATGCACAGATCAGTAACTCTTAAAGTAACACAAGAAACAGACGAGCAAACACCATGAAGTGAGTTTATAAAAACATCTCCTCCTCAGTTTTATGAAAAGCCTTAATTTTATTATAACTCCTTTTTTTGCCTGTTCCCTCTGCAGGAGTTGTCATGCTAGTCCTCCTCCTCYGTCTCACTCTGTCTTCACTCCAACCTCCATATTCTGCATCTCCTCTGTTTTTTTCTTCCTCCTGGCAGCTGCAGTTCTAACATCCTTCTACTGTCCCTCCTCTGGACATGTCCAAACCATCTCAATCTGGACCCTCTAACTTTATTTCTCAGTGGTTCAACCTGTGCTGCATCTCTGATGATCTCATTCCTAATCTTCTCCGTGTCGTCACTTCCAAAGAGAACCTCAGCATCTTCAGCTCTGCCACGTCCAGCTCTGTCTGGCAATCATAAAGAATTCATWATAGGGACAATGACGAGGTTAAATCAGTTGAGGGGGTTAGAAGATCCGGCAAAGATGCCTCCTGGATGCCTCATAGGGACACAGGACACAATGGAGAGATATGTCTCTCATCTGGCCGGGGAACACCTTGGAATCCCCCCCAGAAGAGCTGGAAGAGGTGGCTGGGGAAAGAGAGGACTGGGCCTCCCTGATCAAGGTACCGCCCCCCAACAACCGGACTTGGAACAAGCAGAAGATGATGGATGGATGGATGGATGGATGGATGGATGGATGGATGCTAAAATGATAACTTTACAATAATTTAGGTGGCAGAATCATGGTTTTTTGTATTTGAAGCTGGTACAGCAGTTTTTGATGAATGTGTAAACAAAACCAAGAGGAAATTCAAATATAAGAAGAAAAGTCAGCAGAAAAACAAACATTAGAGCCAATTTTTTTTCTGTATTTTATAAAAAGTTTCCCCTGGCTTCATAAGGAACTGTTCTTAAGTTGTTTGTTGTTTCCTCTTCTGTCATGTTGTAACTCAGGCCTGATTCCAGTATTTTTACTGCATCCGTCTTAGGGATTATAATCACCCAGGCAAAGTTGTTGCCACTTTTTTAACCTGGCAGCATTTTTCTGTGTTCATTAAATGGTCAAATTAACAAACAATTGCTTTGCCTTATAAAGAAACCTCAAGAAATTCCTCTCTGCGAGAACTGGACTGAAAAAGGAGTTTTAAAAGTTAAACAWGTTCCAAACAAAACTGCGTGTTCTGAGCCTGGGGAAACGTTGATTGGGGGACACTTTCAAARACTTTTAAGAAAAGAATGCAATTAAACTCTGTGAAGCCTAAATCACACAATTTAATACTAGAATACCCTTTTTTCTTGGAAACTTTTAGTTTTGATTGTCTTGTCTTGTTCATGTGGGCTCTACAAAGTCTGCAAACATTTGAAAAAAATGACGAGCCAACTACAGTTTGACGAAGCACCACCATGGAGGCCAATTGTTTCATCACAACAACAACACAGTTATATTTATTTCCCCAGCTGTTTACCAGGCGACTTATTACAAGATGTTTCCACAGAGACGAACCTTCCAGCTTCAAGCCCGAAACATCAGCAGAAACAACAACATATCATAAAACCTGCTGATAATAACAATAAGGTAACGAGTTAATCTTTCACATTTACAGCCTGACAGAAACAGAAATTATGGAAGAATGACACTCGCTTTATCTTTGGTCCTGTTTAGTTATCCCACAAGTTTACCAAAAAAGGGAATGAGTGCCCGTTCTGACAACCTGTTTTTCACTTTAAGGAATAGAGTCAGTAATAAAGTTTGTGCTGCTTTAACATTTCTAAATTACCCAGAACTATGATTTCACAAGTGGCACGCAACACTGCCATAACGTCTGTGTCATTTCCAGTATTTTAAAAGCTGTTTTCCATGTGAATAGATCTGTGGGAATGTCTCCATTGCATAACAGTATCAGGAATGAAATGTGAGAATATACTGCACTGCAGGCTTGGCTCTCAGCTCCTTTCAAAAAGCTAACACTGGAGGCAAAAATAATAATAATAATAATAACCTTTCAGGAATACTAATCAATGGGAAAACAAACATAAGTATCGACACATTAGGTTGTTCAGAGTCCTGGTTGATAACTTACCTCAAATTCCTGCTGTGGAGCAGATGTGCGAGTGTGTCTGCTGGACGCTGGAATGGGGAGGAAAAAGTTCCCATCCAGCTGACGTCAGGCTGTGGGATGTGTCCTGCAGAGGAAGCTGAAACACAGCTTGAGGAGTTTAACTTTTACTGCTGCCTTGAATAGAAAAGCTTGCACATATTAGGGATAAACTAAAAACAAAGAGGATCCTAATACTCAGTAATCCATTAAATATGTAACTAAAAGTGTCCCTGTTGGAGGTAGAGTGACCAATGTTTTATTCTTATTTATAAAAGAGTTTTCTTGTTAAAATGCCACTGGTTTCTGGATCTATTTGTAGACATGTTGTTACTCTAAAAGTTACATTATACACAAAACTTTTAAACTGTTATCTGTCTGTCAAGTTTTCATGAAAACGTGTTTCCTGGCACAGAAAGAAGCAGTTTTCAGATGCCTGCAGGAAAATACTGTTGGATTTAATTGACTTGAGTCAAATGATTTGCKGCATTCATGTGCTGTCAGACATACCTAAATTTGCATTAGATGTTACTTTACTGGGATTTTTATGCACTAATATRTGCATATAAACAATTTAAAATTGATAAATACAGACAACAAGACTAATATGTCTCTTTTTACGAAGCTTTGTTTTGCCTCTTGCCTCAAATAAATATGTTGAAATGCGGATTTCCGAGGTTCTCTAAACGCAGCATTTATGGAGGAAGGAAGGTCCTGCTGCGGAGCTCGGTCAGAAGCTGCGGGTTTGTTCCAAAGGAGCGCCGAGCTGCTGTTATCTCACGGTCTCGGTAAAACTCGCTCTGYTCTGACGTTTGTGTTCTAAAAACGGAAGAAAAGAGCAAGTTTAGCTTTTAAAGCACAAGATGGATTCAACTCATTTTCTCCTGGTTTTCCTGGTGTTCCTGAAGACGGATCTCTTGCTCGCAACTACTAGTCAGGGTGAGGAGGGGCTCTACATATTTGTTAGCGGCTTTTTGTTTATTGTTCAAGCAGTGGCACCTTTTTTTCTTGTAATGCCAAATCATAGTAATACGAGTGAAAAGCATTTCGTGAAGCTGCGTGTGTGAAGCGGKGACATCACTAGAGACTGTCGTGGGCGTTTTGCAGGGAAACAAGGTGGATCCCATAGCTAGCTAACAGTTAGCATGGAGGTGCTGGAGATCGCTGCTCCATGATGGTCAGGCTTAAAATAACCAGCTAATACTGTTCCTGCTTAGTGTTTATCAACAGCTCTAAAATGTAAAACTGAATTTAGTGTTTTAAGTTTAATCAAATGTATCACATTTTCATTCAGAACATACTGCGCTTTGTTCGTGTAGCTTTAACGCAGAACAACAATTGAATTGCTGAAAGCGTTTTTTGGGTTTTCTTCATTTCCTCTTTGTAGTTTTCAGGATTACACAACTCTGTTTACTTGTTTTATGTCACATTTGACAGGTTGTTTTTTTTTTTTTAAGAAGAAGCCGATGCAAGTAGACTTGATTATGTTGTTGAATAATTACCAAAGCTTTGACAAAACTCACTACTACACTTGCAAATTTACAGGAAAAAGTCATGTACTTTGGAACACYCAAAGAGTGCAAAGTAAACTTAAAAAAAAAAAAATAGAAGAAGAACCCGTGATCCTGGATGTAAAAGTTTTGTCAGTCCTTGGTGTTTCCCCTTTTCTTAGG